GTTATTTTTATAAGCTTATAAGTCTACTTTTAAAGCCCTTATAATTACATATTACACTATAAATGTAGTTGTAGTGTAGTTAAACTACACTAAAACTATAAAAACTACACTACACTAAAAACTACACTAAAAAACTACATGTAGTGTAGTTTTTTTGTTAAATGCTCTGCTTAGCTATTATAACGTTTAAGCTATTATATAAGTTCTTATAACTTAAGGTAATAATAGTAACTTAATTAAAAAGTATTAGGTTAACCGCTTTCTTTAACGTAACTTAAAGGTTAAAATAAAGGTATTATAAGATATTAAGTTTAAAAGAACCCTTAACGTAATAAAAGATTAAATATAAGCTTTTTATAACCTTTTTAATTATTTAATTAAGGTTTAATTAATTAGGTTAACTTAAATTTATAACTTTAATAAAACTAATATTATAAAAGGGAATTTTAAGGCTAATAAGGTTATTAAAAGTAATCTTATTAAATATTTAATAAGAATAATAGAGTCTTCTTATAAGTAAGCTTTAATTCTTAAATATATAAGTGCTATAAGTTATTATATTAAGCTTATAATTATCTTAAAAGGCTTAAAGCTTTAAGAGTAATAGTTTCTTAATTATTTTTTATATTAAGCTTTTACTTATAATAATTCTAGTTAAACTAATACCTAAATTATAATAAAATAGTTTAAAGAGGTCTTTTTACTAAAAATAACGCTTAAAAACCCCTTCTTATAGCGTATTCTCGTTTTAAATAACGCTAAGCTATATATTTTAATTAAATTAATATATATAGCTTATATTAATCGTGTATAGCTTCTTTTTCTTCTAATAAAGATATTATATATTACCTAGCTATTAAATATAAGCGTTTTTAGGCTCTTAAAAACCTACTATTATTAATAGTAAGCTAGTATTATTAATTTTAATATCTTATTACTACGATAAAAACAGCGATTTATTTAAGCTTATAAGAAAGCTTTTAAAAAGGCCTTTATAATAATAAATATTTAAGCTAGATTTTAAGCTACTAGTATTTTTTCTATTAATATTAAAAGAGCTCTTTAATCTATTATTAAAGATAATAGTAAAAACAAGCTTATAACACTAAAAAAGCAAAAAATTAATAAATCATAGGTTTAATAAACGCCTTATAATAATAAAGAGATTTAAGCTTAAGTAAATATATTACGTTATAATTTTAATAATATTAATTATAAATATTAAACCTTAGCCTTAAAGGTTAATTATAGCTTTAATTAAAAGAATAGCCTTATTATAACCTTATCCGTTAAAAATAAATATCTTAAAGCTAAATTTAACGCTTTAAAGCCTATTAGCTAAAAGGCTATTAAAAAAGACCTTAATTAAGCCTTTACTATTATCTTTAATATTATTAAAGCTAAAGTTAAAGCTAATTATATAATAGCTCTTTATAAAGAACGTTATAGCTATATAATTAAAGAAGATACCCTTAAAATTATAGGCATAAATTAGTCTAATATGGAATTTACGTTTTAGCTGTAGATAGCTAATATATGCTCTTTTCGTTGAAAAATGCCTTAATTTTAATGTGTTGTGATAGAGCCCTGGATATGACGAAAATGGGGGGCTAACGATGTTGTGGGGTGACACGTTATTTGGTTTTGGCTGTGGAGAACAGAACCTGCGGGAGAGGCCGTCGCGCCGTCTCGGTGCTTGATCCGGGGGTAGCTGTGACGGGTGGGTTAGCGATGGCAAGTACGAGCAACTCCACTTGTGCTGACTTGTGCATTTTTGAATTATGATTTGTGAAGTCTTCATTGATGCTGGATCAGTGGATGTTCAGTACATGTTGCGCGATGCTCTCGGAGATGGCTGTTGGGAGTTTGATGACTGGCCCGTGCTGCGTGGTAGTATCGAGTAATTTGAAGCATAGTACGGAGTACTCTGTAGATGCATTGGGAAAGATGGTGCAGGGGTTGGAGATGGTTCGGATTAGCGAGATGACAAGACAAGGGAAGAGATGCTGATTTGGAAGGCCAGGTCCGAGGAGGTAACATTCGTCGGCGGTATCGAGGCGGTTCGAGGCAGGCATCTGGTGTTGTGGAGAGATATACGGAGTTGCACGGAATCTAATCGTTAGCGGCGCAAGCCGGGTCAATTTTAGTCTGAACAGGACTGCTCTGTTCGGATTGACGCCACGCCGTTGCAAGCCATCCAACGCAAAGCTGTGGCTGAGGTCTGATACACGATGGGAGTTCTTCATATCCCTATCTGAGACGTGTCCAAGCGCTCTCTGGGCCGATAATTTTAACAGCAAATAACATCATTTATGTATTATGCATCCCTTTGGCTGTGCTAAGGTGCCAGTCAGGTATCGGCCCCATTTTTTCTGCGATACCTAACGGGTACCTTTTTAGCGTCAAAAAGGCCCCATACGCTAGGTTCGGCTGTAATATGTGCGATGTAGCTCTTTGTAACTCACAGCATTACTAGTACTTCTATCATCTTATTATTTCCTAGCGGGGTTAAGTATCTTTAAATGTAGGGTTTTTAATTGGCTAAAACCAGAATTCGATACCTGACTGGCACCTTAGCACAGCCAAAGGGATGCATAATACATAAATGATGTTATTTGCTGTTAAAATTATCGGCCCAGAGAGCGCTTGGACACGTCTCAGCTTTTGGTTCCGGATGAGTAGACTGGGACTGCCCTCCAAGGCGGTTATTTGGTGACATTTTATTCTTTGTTTCCCATTTCGAAACTTTACAGAAACTCCTGCAAATATCCATTTAAAATAAATGCACTCTTCGAGCAGGAGCCACCCACGCAGCAGCTTCCGATTAGCTGCCGACTCTTGCCTTGTGCCATCTCCGTCTCTAATTCGACAGCCATCCTGTGGCATAAGCGCCTGACCCGAACTCTGCCTGATTTTGGCATATGCCTCGCACAACCTGAAGCAGCTGCATGCCCCATCTCAAGCGCCTCAATATGAGGCCACCAGTGATAAGAATACCTCCGTGTGTTCCTGTATTCCCCTCATCATGGAATCTTACATCTCAGGCCGACATCTTGCTGTCTTGCCAGTTTTGTTGGTGCCATGGCCTTGGAGGCTTTGGGCGTCGCCTCAAGCGTCATTGCAGTAATCGAAATATCCGGACGCGTTGCAGCAATATGCTTCCAGTACTCGAAAGGAGTGAAAGATGCAAAGTCAGAAGACAACCGTCTACTACGAGAGGTCAACAACCTCGGCGAGACGACGAGCAGTGTCCAGGATTTACTCGATGGCCCCTGTGAGACCACACTGAAGACGTCGAGCAAGCTCTTGGATGCGATTGAAGAGGCACGGATTCATTTGAGTAAATTAAAAGACGATTTGAGGCCGTCGTCGGCCCAAAAAGCATTCCGTAGGCTGAGAGTTGGCGCACTCAAATGGCCGCTAAAGAGCAAAGATGTGGAAAAAGTCGTCAAGCAACTTGGACGATGCGGGCAGAATATATCACTTGCTCTGCAAGTCGATCAAACGTGAGCTATTGAACAATGATAAGCCTAGCCGTTCTACCATACTCACACATATCTTAGGTCCATCCTACTTAGTCTTGATCAAAAGGCCTTCTTGAGTCGCCTGCCTATGGCAGCTGGAGCAACATACGATTCCTCCAGTGAAGAGAGCAACCCGATCTGCATGGAAAATACTCGTGTCTCTCTTTTAGATTAGACAACGCAATGGGTGGACGATCCATATGCCGAGTCTATATTTTGGCTCAATGGCATGGCTGGTACTGGGAAGTCTACTACGGCACGGACCGTTGCTCAAATACTTGCGAGGACCGGTTGTCTTGGTGCTAGCTTCTTCTTCAAGAGAGGCGAGGCGGACAGAGATAATCCCCGCAGGCTTTTCTCTACCATTGCGGCCCAGCTGGCGACCCGATTGCCTGACTCGGCAACACACATGAAAGATGCGATAGATCTTGACCCGACCATATTTCAGAAGGCCATGCTGGAACAATTCGACAAACTGATACTGCAACCCCTATCAAGGATCGTTTCTACCTTACTGAAGTCGTCTACGTTAGTGATACTCATAGATGCATTGGACGAATGCGGCGGCTCATACGATGACAGTCGGCGTGTAATTCACATCTTATCCCGAACTAGCAGTCTCATCACACTGCGTGTTCGAGTCTTCTCACGAGTAGACTGGAGCTGCCTATTCGGATTTTGTTTAGTTTGTCTAACACCTTATACCGGAACGTGGCGCTTCAAGAGGTGCCCGAATACGTCATACAACATGATGCTAGCATGTTCCTTGAGCATCAACTGGCAAAAATACGTGCAGAGTACAATGTCACAGTATCAGAAGACCGACAGCTTCCACTTACATGGCCTGGTTATGAGACGGTCCAGGCACTAGTGTGGATGGCTACCCCTCTCTTTATTTTTGCTGCCAATGTTTGTCGCTATCTCGCAGATCTGCGTTGGCACCCAGACGACCAGGTCGCCAAGGTGTTGTGTTATCAGACTAAAACGCAGCAGTCCAAGCTTGATACCTCCTATCGCCCCGTGTTGGATCCGCTGATTGAGGGTCTTGACAAAGTGGAAAAAGTCGAGCTCCTGCAGCAATTTCGAGCGATCGTTGGGTCAATTATTATTTTGACTCGTCCCTTTTCCTTTCTCTCACTGGCGAGGATACTGTATATTCCCAAGAGGACCATCGAGCATCAGTTGGATGGCCTGTATTCCGTGTTGAGCGTGCCAAACGTGTCGGATGCTCCTGTTAGATTGCTACATTTATCATTTCGTGATTTTCTCCTGGATCCTGACAAGAAAGACGAGAAGCCTTTCTGGGTAAATGAAATTACGGCACATGACACAATGGCCTCCAAATGTTTTCGCTTAATGGATGATTCTCTGCGAGAGAATGTTTGCAACCTCAAGGACCCGGCCGCGTTGCAGACTTCTATCGATCCAGAAAGAGTGAATGAGTGTATACGCGACGATGTTCAGTATGCTTGCGCCAATTGGGTGCTGCATCTTCAGTTGTCAAAATCTACCATAAGCAACAATGGTGAAGCTCATGAATTTCTTAAAAAAAAGATTTGTGCATTGGATGGAGGCTCTTAGTTTAATGGGACGAGTGAGGGAGACCATCGACATGATGATGGCTTTGAAGGGGCTCTTGGCTGTAAGTGCTTATGGCATCGAATCATCGCTTGAAAAGGCAAGTTGGCGTTGACAAAACAACAGACTCAAAATAGCGAAGAGCTTTCGGAATTGATTGGAGACGCCTACCGATTTCTGTCAGCAAACATGGGAACAATTAGCTCATCCCCGTTACAACTGTATCCATCGGCTCTTCTATTCTCCCCCAAAGAAAGCTCCATCAGAAACCTATTTGACAATAGTATTCCTCAATGGATTCGCTCCTGGCCAGATACACAATCCCGATGGGGTAGCTGCCTACAGATCCTCGAGGGACATACGGGTGCGGTACATACCGCCAAGTTCGCGCCTTTCAGTGCACGTATGGTATCTGCATCAGACGACAGAACAGTAAGAATTTGGGATATGAACACTGGAGAGTGTCTACAAGTGATCCATAATCCAGTTGGAGTCAATTCCGCAATGTTCTCGCACGATGAAAGACTCGTTGTTGTGGCTTGCAACGACGGGATCATTCGACTGTGGGATGTTAATACAGAGGAATGTGTACAAGAACTTAGGGGGCATAGTGGAAAGGTTTCATCTGCTGTTTTTTCCAGTGACTCCAAGCTTGTGGTCTCCGCGTCCTATGACAAAACTGCTCGGATTTGGGATTCTCTTACTGGAAAATGTACCATGGAGCTCCGCGGTCACGAGAATGAGGTTTCTTCTGTCGCAATATCCCGGGATTCGGCACGCGTGGTAACGTCGTCTTTTTATGACCAGGGCGTTCGAATCTGGCGTACTCTTGATGGAAAGTGCATAGGTGAACTGGAAACCAACGATTATAGCTATGCACGTGCTATTTCGAATGACGCGTCAATGGCAGTGGCGGGCTTAAGGAGCGGTTCCGTCCAGCTTTGAGGGCTCAAGTTAGAAGAATTAAAGACGGATCTAGAAGGACACGACGACCGGATATGTGGTGCGACATTTTCACCAGACTCCTCCCTCATTGCTACATCTTGGCATTGCAACATTGTGTATATATAGAGAACAGCCATCGGCGAGGCCATACGGACCCTTTATGGCTTTATGGTCACCAGAGTACCACTCTTGGTGTTGACTTTTCACCTGACTCGTCCATGATTGCTTCAGCGTCATGCGATCATACCGTCTGCCTCTGGTTAGTAGGGGACTTTGGGCTCCAAATACATGATTCTACGACAAAGTTTTACATCCCTCCGAATGGTAAGCATTTGATATCGCAGTCTTTTCGAGACAACATGGTAATCTGGGATATTGCCACTCAAGAGCGCATCCAAACAATCTAAAACGGCTGCAGCCTATTGGATCCCATTGCCGTCTCCTCCGATTCAACTCGAGTAGCGACACAATCTGGATGTTCTATTCTGATTTGGGACATTAACAAAGGACAGCTGATATCTGAGTTCTCTTCCAATATTGGCCCTGTCCAAACCCTTGCGTTTTCCAAGGACACCCAATACCTCGTCTGTAGCAGCGTGACGCTGGGTGTAGAATTTTGGCATTTGGGCAAAGAGGAGTCCGTTCGGTTACAAGGCGAATTTAATAAGCCCATCACGGATGACGGAAAAGTTTCCGTGTCACTCGATATGCAATATATTGTCTTTGGCCATCAAAATGCCCTGGAGATCTGGTCTTTCCCTCCAGAATCCCCTATACAGAAGATTTCGAAGTCTTTCCAAAGTCATGGCTCTTTTCGAATAGCCCAATTTTCGCCAGATGGGAGACTTTTGGCTGTGGCATTTAGTTACGGCGCATATATCTATGATACGACGTCTTGGGGGAGAGTGACGCAACTTGATGGCGTTCGAGGTGGTATTGAGGCCGTACTTCTTTGGCCAGATTCTACCGTGATAGCGTTTTCGCAATGTTATGGGGGGGAAGCTCACGTCCGAATCTGCAGTACAGCTTCAGGTCACTGTGTGCAGACCATCAGCACTGGAAAGACATCATATCGCTTGTCACTCGACGTCACAGGGCAGTTTCTGTTGACTGACGTAGGGTCGATTCCAGTAAGTTGCCTGAATTTTGCAACGGACAAAACAGTACACGTCAACTTTTAAAACGCTGTTTCTGGATATTCAATTAGTCGGGATTCGTGTTGGATTCTCTGGAATGGCGAACGTGTAGTCTGGCTCCCAATGGAATTTCGAGAGTCCCCAAGAGCAGTATTTGACGATATCGTGGTACTTGGGTCCAACTACTGACAGGCTGGGCTTTATTCAGTTTGACGCCAACAAGTTGCCAATGCAAGCCAAACACTGAATCTCCAAGTGTCGCATTACACCTTTCCAAAGTGCCATCTCAGAAGGTAAAGCGACGAGGACTCTATAAGTTGACGAAACCACGTTGATCAGACATGGAAACGTTTCGTTGAGACTGAATTGGGTTTGAGGTGTGTGGTATTTAGAATTTATATATGCTTTAGACAATTCATTGCGGTGTTTAATTGACTGTTTAGAAAGTCTTTAACCTTCCCATTCTTGTGTGCCTCAACTGTTGTGATGTACACTTCCTGGGGCTTGGCGGGACTATAGCCCTTGTCGATCTGTGTCTGCCATCCGGCTCGCTTCTCCTTCTTCTGTAAATGTAATATTTTGTTGAAGCATATTCCTGATGAATTCATCTTTTCTGAGAGTATAGGGACTGTTGGGGTAATGGTGTGAACTTGCCAGCATTGCGAGCATGCCGAGGGCGGGCTGCTTGGTGATGTCGTGGCCACAACCGATCTTGTAGAGGCCTAGTTCCATGGATAGAATTAGTTCCCAGTACCTCATGACTCATGACTTACCAGTCCTCATAGATCTCCTTGGGATACGTACCGTAAAGCTCAAGCGATTGGACTTTGGAGAGGCTCTCTGACTGAGGTGGAAAATTTGTACTGCTTGGCAATCAGGTGGCTTTCTGTCCAACGTTAAACTCCAAGGTGTGCTTTATTGGGCCAACCAAGCATTAGACTTCATTGGGGTGAAATTCGTAAATAGTCCTTCGATAGTGCTCGAAAATAGCCTATGCTATGTGCCAGCTAAACCCAGGTTCAGGGGTCCGAAATGGAAAGCGTTGAGGTATTGCTGCGAATGGTGCAGCAGACGCCATCACATGTTCCGTTTCACGAAGGGTCCAATAGTTGCCATGTTGCATTTCGGTTTTATTTTATAACCCAACTCATCGAGTAAGAAGTTGTAATTTGAATGACTGGTCAGGTTACTGGATTTGCTTGTCCTTCTTGAGCTCTTCCACGAGCTCAATGTACTTCTTCTGGGCTTCCTCCACGGTCACTCCCTCGTCGACCCGGGCCTTCCAACTCGCCCTCATCTTCTTCCTCTGCTCATGCAAAAAGATATCAGCAATATGAAATTGGAAGGACGAGACGAAATTAAAGGCTGCGAAGGTTAGATGGACGCGATTCCTTACTGCTAAATCGAACATGCCAGGGGCGGCCTCCGTGGTTATGTCGTCACCTTTGGCGATCTTGAAGAAGCCTAGTACCATCGATGAAATTAGTCCCTAGTGTCCGATGGCTTGCTAACCCTATTAGATCTCCTTGGGAGTACGTACTATAAAGACGGAGCATGTCGTCTTGACTGAGATGGCCTTTCAACTTCTGGGCTTCGATATTTGCGGCGTCATTAAACGCCTGGTTACTGGTATTGACCGACATGGTGGCGGATGGAGCAGTGTCACTTTAAGGAAACGGAGTAGACTTGTAAAGAACAACAAACGAAGCCTGCAACTTGAAGCGAGATGTATGCAAGACGGAGAAAAGATCGAGACAGTCCCTCAACACGTGGAGCTGGAGATGTTGGGGCAAGGGGGAAATGGCGGAAGAGTCTGGTCAACAGCTGACTTGCGCTCTTCCCCCCGCCACTCCTCGGCGGGGTACACAAAGCACGAGCACCACAAAGCTCTCTTCACCAAGCCTAGTGTGGCGGCATTCTCTCCCGTCGAAATAGGGGGAATCTACGGCCCAGGCAGGTGACGTCTTTGGCCAGTCCATTGGTCGAGTTGTGCGGATGAAGCCCCATTTGGTGTCTCTGGTGGGTGGAGCGGGCTGGCTCTTCCCTTCAGTGCTCAACGGCAGGGACGAGTTCTGGTGCTGGGTTGCTCTGGCATCGATGGCATGTTGTGTTGCGACGAGACAAACGTGGCAGGACGAGTTGTTGAAGACTAGACTAGTCCGCATGTTGTGGTTGTAGTATAAGAGCGGTGGGATTTTTTGTCATTTCTTTTTTGGGCGTCACCGGTTCCTGCTGGTCGCACGGAAAAGCACGGTCCCTTGCCAGGGAGCGGGATATGTATGACTGAATGCCGGCCTGGGCTCAAACTTTATGCCGTTGGGCAGAAAGCATTTCCCACCCCTGGGAAAGAGGACAACAGCTCGGGGAGCAAGGTGTGACAAGGTCACGTTTCTTGGTGCTGCGTACGGGGGTGCATTGCTCCCGTGGCTTCTATACTGGTCTGATGAATCATCTTCACATGAGAGCTTGGATGGGAGAATGCGGTGGGTCTGCAAGGTCCCAGGTGTGCCGCACGATGATGGATGGAGGTTGAGGATGCGGGTTGAAAAAGCGACTGGTATGACTTCGCACGTCTTGAGCGCCGTGATGAGGCAACCTTGATGGTTCCTTGGCTGTGAGAAACAATGCCGTGGATCAGATGAAATCGAGTCCACCAAAGGCTCGATGCTGAAGAATGCCGAATAAGTGGGGAGCTTTGAAACTCCGAGTCGTCATACATCATCGCCCGACGAGACAGCGTGAGACGGGATAAAAAAAAATACAAGCATCTAGACACAAAAACGCATAGCATCGTGAATCCTCAGTCACTTCGTCGAGTCCCATCTTCTCCAACATGTCCAAAACCGTAGTCGTCCTCGGCGGCTCTTTAGGCGGCCTTGCCGTCACTCACCGTCTGCTCAAGTACACGCTTCCTCACGAGACGGATCTCAAGGTCATATTAATCACAAAGGTGCACCGCTTTACCCCTACTACTCTTCATTCCCCCCCCGCCCCGCGGCAAAACCAAGCTCAATGTTATAGAACTCCCACTTCTACTGGAACATCGCGTCCATCCGCGCCGTCATCCCCGGCGTCCTCCAAGATGAGCAGATCCTACAGCCCATCGAGCCCGGGCTGGCGCAATACCCGCCCAACAGCGTAGAATTCGTCCTCGGCGAAGCCACGAGTCTGGACACGGCCTCCAAAACAGTCCACGTCTCGACGGGCGACGACACCCGCACCGTTGCATACGACTACCTGGTCATTGCGACAGGGTCGACCAGCAAGTCTCCCTCGATGCCGTGGAAAGCCTCGTCCACCCACGAGGCGTGCGTCAAGGCCCTACACGCAGCCGCAGATGGCATCCGGAAGGCGTCGCACATCGTGGTAGCCGGGGCGGGCGCGACGGGCGTAGAGCTCGCGGGCGAGATACGCTTCGAGTTCCGGGACAAGACGGTGGTGCTGCTGTCGTCGGACGAGCAGCTCCTCGGCGGGGACTGCATCGCGGCGGCGGCGGAGAGGGAGCTGGTGAAGCTGGGCGTCACGATTCGCAGGGGCGTGCGGGTGGCCGGCACCGAGGACGAGGACGGCGGCAAGACCGTTGTGAGGCTGGAGGGGGGCGAGGAGCTGGAGACGGAGCTGTACCTCCCGACGATGGGGTTCGTGCCCAACACGGCGTATCTGCCGGGCGGCTTCTTGAACGACAGCGGCTACGTGGATGTCGATGAATACATGGGCGTTGCAGCCCAGGACGCCGGAGGCAGGGTGTGGGCGGTTGGGGATGCGGTTTCCAAGCCGAGAGCTGGGTTTCTCATCACCGAGGCGCAGGCTGCCGGCGTGGCCAAGAATATCGACCTGGTGCTACGAGGTAAAGACCAGCAAGTTGTTCATGGCCCGTCGATAGACGTATTCATTTGTTCGACGGGCCGCTCCAGGGCCGCGGGACGATTTGGCTTCGTCCCCATACCGTCCCTGGCGGCGTGGATCGGCAAGGGCCGCACGCTGGGGGTAGAGCGGACGAAAAAATACGTAGACGGGAGTATGTGGTGATGGAGAGATAGACGGTAGATAGATATGGCACGTCGTCCAGGGGCTGTGTGACACGCTGTAAAATTTAGATTTACGTCTAATGCTTTCAGACATATGTTCGCTGAATCCAACATCCTCCTCCCTTCTTTGACCAAAAAAAAAACCCCCCCATCACGCCTTCTCTGCGTCAATCTGTCTCCGCAAATCATCCAATACCGCTTGTCTCGAACTCAAATGCGTCTCCAAACCCTCTACTTGCTCCCTCACTGTCTGCAAATCTTCCGAGACGCTCTTCAGGCTTGAACCAACAGCACTCTTGCCTGTCCCCTCCTCCAATTCTCTCAATTGTCTGCGCTTATAGTCCAGTAGCTGGTCGAGTTCCCTCCTTACAAGCGCAGGCTTGGAATCTCTCTTGCCGCCTTTCCGCTGCTCGGCCATGTCCTCCACCTTTTGAATCTTGTTTTCCAAGTCGGCGAGTTGTCGCTTCAGCCGAACCTCCTCCCAATCTTCCGTCTTTTCCGTCGAAAAGTCGGTGCCGGCTGTCTTGAATCCGCTTCGACCCAGCCGTGTGAGGTACTGTTCACCGAATTTCGTCTTTCGACCAGTCGAGGTAGAGTCGTCGGCCTTGGTGGCCCATCGTGAGTTGGCACCAGTCCGTTGGTTGTCGAGCTGGTAGTCTATCTGGTTGCGCTCGAAGCTGGAGCGTAGTGAGGCAGGAACGCTACGGGGGATGCGGAAGCCTTCGTGGCGGTAATTCAGGATATGGAGGAATGCGAGGCACGCGTCTTTGTTGATAGTAGAGCCGGCGGAAGGGTTGACGAGGTTCCAAGCTGATCTGACATCGGTGTCGGGGACGTCGAGAGATTCGTAGAGTTCTTCGAGGGCGTTGACTAGTAGAAACAGATGAGAGGGTGCGCTGAGGGACACACACAAAAAAAGGGACGAGACTAACATGATACTTCGCCCCGCATGTCCCGGTTCTCTTGATAAATGTGCTCGTATTTTGCCTTGTCCTCGGGCTTCATGTACCACTCAAACCCATCCTTGAGACCAAGGTCGTCTGAGTCGTCTTCGACCTGCTCAAACTGCGGCTGCTTGCCGGTGATGGCACGAGTTGCCTGAACAAGATGAGCCTTGGACTCGGGGACTAACCAATCCGGGAGTGTCTTGGGGACGTCGGAATATTCCTGATCATCATAAGTATTCGCAAAGACTGGGTCTCGTGGTCGGTACATCATACTCCGTTCAGAATGTCAAAAATAAGTCGCATTGCGACACAGAACTCCTCAAAGTCCAAGTTTCCATCATTGTCGACGTCGGCCAAATCCCACACGCGCTCCAGCTGATCATCGCGGAGACCGCTGTTCTTCAGAACCGGAGCTGCTTGTTCGCCGGTGAGAAATTGGCCACCGCCTGTTCGGTCGGAGAAGATGTTCCAATACGTCTCAATCTCCTTGGCCTCAATCTTGGGAGGCGCCATGGTTGCCGGGGGCTCAGGCTGCCGGGGGTCGGGCGGCAGCAGGTCGATTCGGGAGCGGATTAGTATTGGAGATGGACAGAAGAGGCAGCTCTGTGCGGTTGGTTGTATGGCTGCGTGCGCCGTGAAGGGGGCATGAAGGATGCTAAAGTTCCAAGACCACGGAAGGCGAGGCACACACGATGGCTTGAGTGACGAAGCTCCAGGCTCGAGGTTGCAGACTCTCGATACACTTCAATACACCAGACCAGATCTAACTGGTTCCAGTTAGCGCTGCGTTCAGTAATTGTGTAGCCCCAGTTGTCCTAGTCTAAGATGAGGGTACCTATTTTGGGCGCAAAATTTCTGTCAGGGCATCCTTATCGGGTGCTTCGATACTACGGGGGTAGGTACCTACAGATGAACCAGCTTCTTGTCATTAGCAAGGCTAGATACCTTGGCCTCCCATTGTGCTCCGACCTCCGTAGTCAACATGTAGGACGCCTAAGTTGGATCTGGTAATGGCACAGAGCACGGCACAGCGTATGATCTGGTTCTAGTGGTGGGGGGCCCCTCGAGCATAATACATTGCTGTACAGGGTATGCTCACGGCTCAGGGGGAGTACAGACTGTGCTGTCCCTTTTCTTTTTTTTTAATAAGATCATTAATTGGACAACCTCAGGTTTGTCTCAAAGAGCAAACAACTTGCCGTGTCTTCAAATAAAACATCAAGACTCCGAGTACTCGGGTTGGGCTGGCCAGTCGACGCGGCGTGGTTTGTCACTTGTCGTGGGTCACGGACCTGGATGCCAGCCCCACACGCAACTGTGGACGCCCGCAATTTACGTCGCGCCGCGAGGGGCAAACCGAAATGTTGGTTAAATTGAGACTGGACCCTTTCCCGCCGAGACAAAACCAACAACATCTGGATTCTCCTGCGTCCTCTCGCAAAGGCCGGCAGCGCAGAACCTCGGACGAGCTTAACCAACTCTCCAAAGTCTCCAAAACAGCACCAAGATGGCGACCACCACCGTCACGGTCACCGAGACCCGACCAGAGCCCATGACGGCTGATACCATCCTCCGCCTCTTCCCCGACATCGACACCAGCTCGGAGGCACTGTCCGGCCACGACGAGGAGCAGATCCGGTTGATGGACGAGGTGTGCATTGTGCTGGA